CCCCAAAACCCCAAAACCCCAAAACCCCAAAACCCCAATCCCATCTTTAAGCTCCCAGAAATAAATTATTTTCAAAATGTCAGACACCCTCGCCTACGTTCTAAGAGAATACGAAATATTCACTCAAGAACAAGAAGCCCTCAGACTAGTACATTCTTACTTCCTAGAGCACTCCAAAATTACTACGTTTGGGATCTACGATGACGAAGACTGCGAGCAAGAGATGCTAGATATGGTATTCTAAAGTTTCATACAAATTTACGTCCCCAAACAAGAAGCTGACATTACTGCAGATTTAGTACTTCATTTAGACATTAGAACAAATAGATAGTTACCAATAACCCCAAGACGTTGTATTAATCTGTGCTCATGGCATGGACGGTTTATGCTTCCAAAATATTATTTACAATAAAGACCTTGGTAATGTTTTAGTCTAGGGATGAGAAGTTGATTCGTAAATAAGTTGGCAGTACAGTTTCCGAAGTATTACGGAATTCCTCATTGTACCCAGCTCAGCTACGCAAAAGGATCCAAAAGAAAAGCATTGTATCATAAGTATCTAAAAATGATGCATGCCAATAAACCCAAAGTATTGAAATTAGGGTTTAAAAGACAAAGACAAGAGGATGGTTCCTTCTCCATCCAGAGACCTATTCTGATGAAAAGTATCAGCCTGGTTGATAATTTGAGCCTGCTAAATACTGTGGAGCTTAATAATCTTAACCTTCCAACCAAACAATTGACCCTGGTGTTCATGGGTAACAGACATATCGGAAAGTTATTATTCGTCAAATGCATTTTAGGAGATATTGATAGCAAGAAGTTTATCATTCCAGAGTCTGTGCTAGACACGCTTGTTTTTGATTTGTGTACATCTATGTCCACAGAAACATTTCTGGGGTTTGCATTCTTTGAGAATTTGTTCCACATTCTCGGTACTCCCAAAGTATTCAGATACTTTAAATTTCTGAAAATATTCCTGGCATGTGTAAATGATACTAAAATACGAGAACTTAGGAGTTCAAACTGTCTAGAACATGTGGCTATCACCTTAATCGACAACAACTGCAGAATGATCTCAATCCCACCCTACTACTAATACCTCTATTCAATTCTTTTAAACCCATCTGGGGTTTTGGGGTTTTGGGGTTTTGGGGTTTTGGGG